AAGAAAACATAGAAACTTCAATATAAGTGCAATATATAGAAATTATAAGAAGGTACAAATGATTAAATGTCAAAATAGAATCAAATAGAGTACCGAAAAATCGAAAAAAAAGAGTCAGTCATATCATAACACAAATATATATATATAAATATATATATATATATATATATATATATATGGAGGGATTTTCCAAAAACAAAGCCTTCAAAATAGATTCTACAGCGTATCCAAACCACCTAAACAGTTATTCCTCTGTCCAAACATCAGTTTGGATCCTACAGTTCTAAACAAATACCATTAGATCGAAGTTGTTTGGCTAACGTTTCATGGACTTCAGTTATCGCTTCCGAAGATATTTTGTTGCTTCGCTGCCTGATGCTGAACACTCGTCAAGAAGAAGTCAGGCTCAAGGAGCCAAACTGAATGATAGAAGCCTCTGCTGGTTATAAGAGGGCTAGGGAAATTTTTGAAAGCTTGTTCAGCCAGTCGCATGTAATAGCCCGTGAAACATTAGAAGATTTACTCAATCCTCCGAATGTTGATCATACTGATGCAGAACAGCTATTTAACCTGGCTATAAGTATGGAAAATTGTGCCATGATTCCTGTACAACCAAGATAGGGAAATTCGGAAATTTTGGAATATGCTCCCTTGGATAACGGTTCTGATGAGACATTGATGAGGTTAGATTCTTTGAAGTCGCTCGTGCTGAAGGAAGACCAAGCGTCAGTGGTAGTTCAGACTGTAGTGGGTAATAGCACGACAAAGGTTACGAATGCTTCTTTTGAGGTATATTCTTTGTATCGGTCTGAACATGTTGTGATTGAAGGAGCTTTGATTGTGTCAAGTATACCAGGGTATAAGCCAGCGAAGTCGGCAATGAACAAACTAGTTAGGTGGCCACATTTAAGTGATGTACCGACAGAGAGTCCAAACTCTGAAGATATTCTACTTCTGATTGATTGCGACGTGCAGGAAGCACATTGGGTGTTGGACCAGCGGTTAGGTGCAAGGAAAAGTCTAAACGCTCTGAAAACGTTTCCAGGATGGACTGCTTTTTGACCTTCACCATACCCGGAATTTAGGAAAAGGGCTGCAAATCATACTAGTAAAGTACAGTCATTGGAGGACCAAATACTTAAGCTTTATGATGTGGAGTTTGATGACGTCTATTCTAGTGTACAAAACAGTATCAGTAGAAGACAAGGTGGACATAGAGGTCGTGGAAAGGGGCACGTGCTTCTTCAATGGTCATTTTATAGTTCCGATACCAGAGAAACAGAATCCAAACATGAAAGTGGTAAATTATGAAGTAGAAAACAGTAGATTACAGAGTTTGAAGCGTTGGTTGCTGAGGGATGACAATCTACACGTCAGGTACACCAAAAGTATGGGAGGTAATTTTACTAAAGGCTATTTGGTTTTACCTCAGTTTGGATCCTACACAGTAATGCAAAGACAAATATTCGCTCGTACTGACCAGCAAACGTTGATCACTTCAAACCACCCATATTTGTGGGGCAAAAAATTTTGTTTGCTTTCGGCTCTTTGGATTGTTGGGGTGATTAATCAGTAACATTGAAGTTGCTATTATACGCTTGCTACCTCTGAGGCTCATGTTTCCGAAGCTATGCTGTGATCACTATTCTGCAGAGACACCCGCAACATGCAAACTCAGGAGCTTACAGTATGATTTAGAGGTTGACATTTAATAACAAAACAGTTAGACTGAAAAATTTTAATTATCAATGTTTTTTTACAAACTCTGCAACTCTTCCTTCTTTATTACTGTACCCCTTCATTTGTAGGTTATATTCCTATAATTTATCTTCATTTTATTGGCCAGTATGAATTTTATCTTGACTTACCACTGTATTGACTGCTTCAACATGACAGGTTAAGCAGTGCTTTGGTTAAAGATACATATTTGCCTCGTTGCCGCTTTTTTTCTCTCTCTCTCTCCCTTTTCACTGTGGAGAATCCATCGCGCCTGTAGGGAACATTCACCCTATGTACATGCGTGTCTAGGTCACAGCGTGTATCAGGCGCGTTCCAATTGACCTTTCCCAACAAATTCACTATTGACCTAATCAAACCGCCCAAGAAACCTACTGTCCACTTGTGACAATTTGATCTAGCCTGTAAACTGGCATGCCTCTTGAAACGTAGTTATTTGAGAATAAATAATAATAACATTATTACTAGAGTATGATCTGAATCTAAGCGTGTGCTCCAGAACGAGCGATAGTCTTCAATAGAGCCTCTCGACCGATGGCTGATAGCAGTGTGGTCTAGTTGTGTCCAGCGATGGGATGACTTAGAGTGTTGTCATGCCAAAATATGTCTCTCCTTATGCTTGAGGTACTTATTTCCTAGAAGCAGGTGGTTATCTGAGCAAAGCTGAAACAACCGGTTGCCATTATCTGTTCTTTGAACCACGACACCATAACATCCACCCAGGTGTCTTTCCTTTTCACCTAGTCTACCTACTTAGCAATAAAATCGCCAGCAATTATTACTAAATCAGAGCACTTAACGTTTTGAAGAAGTTAAGAAAAGTTTCTGTAAACTTATCATTTATGATAAGGCAGATACTACGAAGAAACAACGGTGAGTGGCTCTACCTTTACGAGCCACTGCTGTCCCGTTTAGTCGGACAGCACACAAGCGACTGTCTACTGAGATCCAATCTAATAAAGTTACTCCTAATTTACAACCTAATGCTATACCTACACAACCAAAGCCACGGGAAACAGCAGTAGGGCTTCCAGATACACAAACAGTAAATCGAGTCGGTCATTTATTTTGACATCGTGAAGTCAAATCAACGATACTACTCGGAACTTGTACGCACGTTTCCGAGACGCAGCATACATCGACGGCACGAGATTCTAAAGTCCTAGATAAGGAAGCTTGTTGTCCAATTTGGCACAACGTTCGGACATTGAAAGCTCCAATTTGTAGTTTAGAAAGGCCTTTCAGGAGACCAGGAATAACGTTTCGTATACTCAATTAGATCCAGGCTTTGATTATTTACCATAGAAGAGACATGACGTAGTCTGCGTTATTGTGCTGACGAATTTATCCTGAGTCATACATGTACTTGGAGTAAGGCTAATTGTCGCCTCATTGTTGGGGAGTTCAACACACTACACATTAGTTAGATAGAAGATACAATGGATGGATGTTTCGACAGCCTGTCGTTTACTGTTACTCAATGTGCATTTGTACAGTAAATCACGAAACGGTCACATAGATTAAGAACAAGAACCATTGGACCTTGTTTTTACCCAACAAAGGGATAGTATCTGTAGTTGAATTTTCTACCGTAACAGTTCAATTCGATTCCGATAGGCGTATGTCGAACGCACCCTTCCTTAGTCGAATATCAAAACGCAATAATTCTAGGAGAAAGTGGTCTATTTATATAAAAAATGGAAATACAAACATTTATCTGACAATTATTACACCTTCCAAGTCGAAATTACTGTGATGAGTATCCGAGTTCAAAAGATTAGGTGATGCTAGTATACTGCGACGATATCAAATCGAAATATGGCTGTAGCCATATTATATATATCAAATTTAAACAACATGTGTACAATTCAGAAGCAAATATAAAAACTTCAATATAAGTACAAAATATAGAAATAAAAGCAATATACAATGATAAAATCTCAAAATGGGATCAAATAAAATACCAAAATGTCAACAGAAAGAGTCAGTCATATCATAACAAATATATATATACATGGAGGGATTTTCCAAAAAACAAAACATCCAAAAATATTCTACAGTATCATCGACATAAAGTACCTACCCCACAGGCATATATCGGTCACGTACCACTGTACTTTAGGTTTCAGCCATATAATATACATAAAGTACCCGTTTAATTCCGTTTTAGTATCTGGCGAGCTAATATCTCTACCATCAGGAACTGTGCTATTTAAACAGATTGGTCTGTCAATGTAGGTGGATCGGTCGTAGACGAGTGTAATTGATTTAGAGCCACATTCGATTAAGTAACATCCCATAAGACACCATCTTAGGTCTTTTATTTTTGCTTACATCAACGAATTACCGAGGTAGCTTAATTCGTCGACACCGTTATTTGCTGACGATGAAAAAAAATGCACAATGAAGTTGATCATCTTGATCTTCAAGCAGACCTGGAAAAATTGTTTGGGTGGCCCGATGTGGATTAAAAATTATTTCCAGATAGATGTAGGACGTTGCATTTGGGACCGGAAGGCCGTCAAATGTACATCACCATGAATAACGGAACACAAAAACATGGAATAATAGTAAGTCATGACTTGGAAACAAATGTACATTGTAGTGTGGTAGCTGTCAAAGTTTTTCGAATGTTATGGTCACTTCGTTGAGCACTGAAATACTTTGACAAGGATAAGTTCCGGGTAATATGCGCCATCTATGCGACACCTTATCAAGAGTATTGCAGCTAAGCAGTAAGCCCATGCCCGACTTAATATACCATCACACTTGAGCGTATCTAGCTTATGGAAACTAAGTTAGTGACAGGCCTTTCTGTATTCACTAACCATAAGCGCTCAAAATGTCTAAACATTTTCCTTTTATCATAGAACGTGAGATGATCATATTTTGGCATTCCATATCTCGAACTACGAATTGCATGTGAACCTGACTTATCTGTCCGCTCCCTCCAGAACCTATCATTTCCAGGGCCATTGTAAGAGTGTTCAAAAACATCTACTGAATGAGCTCAGAGTAGGATTCCATTTCTAATACAGAGCGGTCTGTCTGCAACGCCGTAGCCTCACTATTGAACTCTTTCAAGGAGGAAACAGACACTCACTGGAAAATAATTTGAAAGGATGAACGCAGCTCGACCGACCTACTATCGTTATTACAAAAACTGAGCTGAAAATATTCAATGATCAGTATTTTGTTTTAATAACCTAAAGTATATATATCGTTCTATTTGAGCCATCTGTAGTCACGTATTCCTTCTCAAAATGTCAAGAGCTAAAGTTGGTATTAACGGTTTTGGTCGCATTGGTAGACTCGTACTTCGTGCCGCTTTCCTCAAAAACACTGTGGATGTAGTTTCAGTGAATGACCCTTTTATCGATTTGGAGTACATGGTGTACATGATTAAATATGATTCGACTCACGGAAGATTTCCAGGCGAGGTGTCAACTGAAAACGGAAAATTAAAAGTTAATGGGAAGCTGATAGCAGTTCATAAAGAAAAAGACCCTTTGAATATCCCATGGAACATTGATGGTGCTGAATATGTTGTCGAATCAACTGGAGTCTTTACCACCACTGATAAAGCTGAGGTAATGTTGTTTCACGTTTCGTCTAGTGTTCACTGTAGGCCCATATTAAGAATAATCGGGCTAAAAAGGTTATAATATCTGCGCCTTCTGCAGATGCACCCATGTTCGTGGTTGGTGTTAATGAAAAGTCGTACGATAAGTCCATGTCTGTGGTTTCTAACGCGTCATGCACAACAAATTGTTTAGCACCTCTGGCTAAAGTTATTCATGATAATTTTGAAATAGTCGAAGGGCTTATGACAACCGTGCACTCATTCACGGCTACTCAAAAGGTCGTGGATGGACCATCTTCAAAATTGTGGAGAGATGGTCGTGGAGCTGGCCAAAATATCATCCCAGCTGCCACTGGTGCTGCTAAGGCTGTTGGCAAAGTCATCCCAGAGTTAAATGGGAAATTAACTGGAATGGCTTTCCGCGTTCCCACACCGAACGTCTCAGTAGTTGACCTAACGTGTAGGCTGGGCAAAGGAGCTACTTATGATCAAATCAAGGCTGTTGTGAAAGCAGCTGCGTCTGGACCATTAAAGGGGATTTTGGAATACACTGAAGATGAGGTCGTCAGTTCAGACTTTATTGGAACTACCAGTTCATCTATATTTGATGCAAAGGCGGGGATATCTCTCAACAACAATTTTGTGAAATTGGTTTCATGGTATGTTTGCATATATTTTCATCTTATAACTTTCTCGTAGGTACGATAATGAGTTCGGGTACAGCTGCCGCGTAGTTGATCTCATTACACATATGCACAAAGTCGACCATGCATAAAAAATAGTTTCAACTGTAGTCGACCAATGTCTTTTGTTAACTGATAGATAAATAAAGCGTTAATCAACTCACTGTTTTCTCATTCTTACTCAAGCATTTGTCAGATATCAATCAAGCGTTAATTGGTTCCTTTTTTCTCGTTTAATGGTCAGTGATATAACAGGTACTCATTGTTTTATTTCGTGCAAGAGAACTTCCCACAAAATTATCACTCACTGTCCTTTAAGCTCATGGTTATGGTGTATTTGAGTGGTCTCCACCGGCTGCAGGTTTTTGACGGCCGAAGAGGCATTCGTTACTTTCAGGTAATGACTGTTGATTTGTAGTCTGCTTTCTTCTTGACTCTTTTGACCTGTCCCTTCCAGAGCTGGTCAACCGTTTAGAGTTTTTAAGAGAGAAGCTAGTTCGGTCGGGTTCCCCGTACGCTAGTCTTTGGGTTACGCATATGATATCGCAAATGTCCACGGTACTTGTTGAAGGCTATCACAATATTCACTGTTTTTGTATCTTCCTTGTAAAAGTCACCTCAAATTGGTGGGATGTTAACACTTTTGAAGTATTTGCGACAGTCAGTTGGGTCTATCAGTTCGAAATAACCCCCGTCAACCTAATTTTTACGAGTATTGGATCAGAGTTAACCACAGGGGTCAGTTTTCGCCAATGGTGTTCTGTCTAGTAGTACTTTGGTCCGGATGGTTGTAATCTAACAAATAAACTGGAAGCTCGAAAAATCCTTAATGCATTGCAGGTTAACCCCTGTTGGGTGCCACTAGTAAGGTGTTTTACTGAGAATTGCACTGTTGTGTGCTCAATCGTTTTTGACTCAAGATCACATATCGACTTGGTTATTCACACTGAAGTAGTCCTCAAAAGAAGGAGGATCCTTTGAGTCAAGTATTACTCCTGTCAAATCCATCTGGACGTGTTTGTCGACTATCAGTTATAAGACAACCCAGTTCATATCGGGGCACTGCTACATGTATGGCTTAAAGATCTTTTGAAATTACATTTCATCTCTCGGAGTTGGATGTATAATAACCCACAAGTTAATGTTTTATTGTGTGAATACCTTTTATGCCTGTTATCAATTAACTGGTTCTACATTCCAATAGGCTTTATTAAGCACCGGAATGTTGATCATCAGTAAAGATTACAGCCTACTAGAATTTAAAGGAATAGGTGATGCTAAAGTTGAGACGAAGAAATTCATGCAGTTGTACATAAAGTCACGCTTACGGTCACCAAGCATCACTGTCCTGTTACGACTGAGCTCTGGTTCTCTTACAAGTAAAAGCAGATTTAACACTTCATCCGTCTAATGGCTGCTTAGTTTCCGACCAAGTGACTCGATGATGATTCTTGCCGAAAGAATAGGATTCAAGCAGTCTAAAATAAGGAACTAGTATCCAACTATTCAGTTCCACGTAAGTAATCAGCCTTAATTCTGGTGCTTGTGACGTCATATGTTTGGTTCCATGTCAGTCAGTCAGTCAGATCCAACGTGAGTACATAAGTTCATGTCGCCATACCACATTAACATGGAGAAGCAATTGTTCATTCAGATCCCATAGTGGTAGAGATAGCAGGAGCACTACTGGTAATAGAAGATCAGGGTTTCAAGATATTATTCGAAAAGTATGTCAGTGCGAAAACAGTAGAGGTGTCGAAGATTCCAGAAGATTAGGATTTGAGAGAATGCAAGGAGTGGATGCACCTGCGTTGTTGCAAACGATTTTGAGCTATATCATTCAAGGTCTCTAACAATCGGTTATTATTGTCTCGCGGACCCCAACCAGGTAGCCTACATCTACCAACATGACTCAGTCCACTTATCAGTGACTTGGTGCGTTTGCACCATGTTTTAGTCCGGCTGTCCCTATCTTTCTTCCAACCTACTCCTACACTACTAAACGAAGCTCGTCGAGGCAATCGATGGTTAGGCATTCGTAACACGTCCTAACCACCTCAACTGATGAAGTTTCAGTACTTCGTCTGTTGATCTGCCATCGCTACCTAGTTCTCGTTTCCTAATGGCAGCATTGCTTACTCGGGTGTCCCACCTTACAAGAGCAATGCCTCGAATACATCTGTGATCGAATAATAGTAACCTACGAATATCTTCTACTCCTACCGGCCATGTTTCGAATGCATATGGGAGAACGGAGCGAACTGCTGCGCAGTAAATATCGTAAATATTGTTCAGACTGCCAGGGTCACATTGCGTGAAAATTTGTTGTATTCAAGTCAAGCACGCTTTTAGTCTTTTAAAGCCATTCAACTGTCGACTGAGCAGGTTTTCCCGTTACCCTAAAAAGCTGTACTGTTGCAGTTGTAGATTACTTGAACATAATATTTGTCTCGTAAATGCTAGTGAGATATTGTGTTAGTAGATGACTTGTTTACGGAGGGTTTATGCAGCTCAGATATTCAGGTGAAGCTAATCATTATCATTACTCCACTGACAACCACCAGATTATTCGCGAATGGGCGTTCGAGTCTTTGTTTCCTAGCGTGCATGTTTTGCACAAATAATAACTTCGTTTAAAACCGGTTGTAGATATCCGGTTCAAATCCCAGAGACGAGATGTCGGCTTCGTTAGATGTCGTTAGGGTCACATCAAGTTTACTGACTCCTATCTAGTTGGTGTAACTGTCATTCTACTCATGGTGACAATGTCTTAGTGACACAGCTTTTGACATGTATTATGGTCGTGTTGCAGATGTTGCATGTAATGAAGTAGTTGCTCTCAGACCTTGAGTAGCTGCTTTTTGTCTGATCGTTCTCCAATCGACCTGCCTGGCATGGTAGAACCTTCAGGAGCATATGGTGCAGCCAATATAGCTCGGTTGGCTCATCACGATAGTCAAGCTCGACCACCACGTCAAGGGATCTGCCACCTGGTTCCGTGTGGTAATATGTCGCGCAAACTAATGCGAAGTTTTGAACATAATCAGTGTCATCTGGTCTCTAATGATTTTCTTGATGGCTTTGGCTCATGATAGGAACGTAGTTACCAGTTAGATTTCCCATTTAGCTAGTATATCCAATTTTTATAACCGTTTACTTGTAATCATGTATTATTATTTATTAGGCTTGACGATATATTTACTAATCACATGATTGTATAGTAAAAATGTCACTGGCTTCATACACAATCCACTGAATTATGAAAGTTTGGCATTCCAGTCAGTGCGAAAAGTATTATGTGATAATGATAGTGGTGCTTAAACATACCAGGCACAAAAGCATATAATTAGAAAAAATTTGTACACGTAGAATAGTAATTCTTTATGATAACTAAGAGACCTCGAATCTGAGGGGGAATGAGAAGTGAATGCACCTGAACAATTGGAAATGGCCTAGATTAATGTCCTCTGAATTATCTTATCATTGGCTTTGATGTATGGACGCAGGACGTCCCCCTTTTGATCTGTTTCTTGGTCTTCTGTCGCCTATGATTTTTCTGATTGCTTGGTAAATTGGGTTAATGTCGATGTGTTTGTTAATTGCTGATTGACCTGAATACCAAGCTTCTAGAAATTCTCTAGTGTTCTTCGTGCTCCCTCTATCCAGTACTCCCACATTGTTCCAATCGAATGTGTATCCATAATTTTCCGTATGTATTGATACAAGTGAAGAAATGTCGTGGCGTTTGACTGCTAGTCGTGTACTGAAAAAGTTTAATTCACGTCTGCAGGTGGCATTGCGATGGGTAGTCCTTTGGGACCTTTCTTAGTTAGTGTATTTGTCACGCTGAAAATATATTGAGTAAGATCATCGGTGAAGTAACTCCGTACAGGAGGTACGTGGATGATATATTAGTTATATGTGATAAAAGTTCCCATTTTGCTCAGTTACTTGATGAATTCAATGGTGTACAGAATTATATCGTTCTGATCTATGAGGAATAAAGATATGATCGACTACCCTCTTTAGACAGACTGTTCAGTCGAAAGAAAGATGAAACCATAGAGCTGTCAGTCTGTAGGAAGTCAACCTGGATTGGAAAAAGTTTGAATTTCCACAGTTTCTGTCCTCTGCAACACAAGCGAGGCCTGGCTTCAAGACTTGGTTGCATCGGCACCTGAACTAGTGATAGGGAGTCAAGTAGTCGAACGTGTAGACCGCTTCACTTATCTTGGGAGTCTCATCAGTGCCGATGGCCTGGTGACTGACGAAATCTGAGCTCGGATACAGAAGGCTCGATTGGCTTTTGCCAACCTGCGTCACTTATGGCGTAGGCGTGATATCCGTTCTCTAATTAAAGGACGAGTGTACTGTGCAGCAGTTCTCTCCGTTCTCCTATATGGCTGTGAAACATGGCCAGTGAGAGTAGAAGATATTCGTAGGTTACTGGTTTTCGATCATAGGTGTCTTCGAAGCATTGCTCGAATACCGTGGGACAACCGAGTGAGCAATGCTGTCGTTAGGAAACGAGTACTAGGTAAGGATGGCAGATCAATAGATGAAGTGGTGAAACTTCATCAGTTGAGGTGGTTGGGACATGTCTTGCGTATGCCGAACCACCGACTGCCTCGACGAGCTTTGTTTTGTAGTGTAGGAGTAGGTTGGAAGAAAGTTAGGGGCGGCCAGACCAAAACATGGCAGAAATCCATGAAGTCATTGACTAGTGGACTGAGCCATGTCGGTAATTGTCGACTACCTGGTTGGGGTCCGCGAGATGATAATAATCGATGGTTAGAGACCTTGAATGACATGGCTCAAAATCGTTCGCAATGGCGCCAGGGCATTTATTCTTCTTCTCGCAAACCCTAATCTTCTAGATTCTTCAACACCTCTAGTTTTGACTTTCTAAACTTTTCTCATTTAATCATACTTCATGAATAATATCTTCTCATCCTAACCTCTCCGATTACTTCTAATACCTTTACTACCTCTTCTACTATTGGATTTGAATTGACAATTACATCTCTGTGCTGATGTGGTATGGCAACATGAACTGATGTACTTATGTACAAAGTTCTACGTTGCATCTGAC